TTAAAATACAGAAATTTCAGGTTTTTTCATGTAGACTTTGAAACGCACACTTTGGTTGAGTAAGCTTTGGATGACACGGCAATAAAACTGAAATAAAATGTTCAGTAGTAGGTATCAAATGTTGAGAAAGCTTTCCACAGCAGTAATTGAATCGCATAATTTCAATTAAACTGAACAATTTTTATACTATATTTAATACTGATAAATGAAACTTCAACAATATTAATAATGATGATAAAGAACAAACAATGAAATGTACTTCTTCAGAGAAGGCGTTCGAAATTCCTATCAGCTTCTCAAATCAAAATTTGACAGCTGCCAGTAACGATTTGCATTCTGCTTCATCGCCGCTTCGTCCAAAGCCTACTTGATCAAAGTGTGCGTTTCAAAGTCTACAAGAAAAACCTGAAAGCTCTGTATTTCAAAGATGAATTCAGCAAAACATCAAGTATGCTACATTTTCAAAGAGTTCATTTTGAAGTAATGAAATATGCAGGAATAAACAGGATGTCTCATTGAAAAAAAATGTTTCGCATCAATAACCATTGATATCTCATTTGAAAAAATAAGTTCTTCTGCACCATTGAATTCTACATGAGTGCTTTGGAAATTATTCCATAAAAACAAAAAAAAATTTACAAGAAAAAAATTGCAGCATCTTTTAGAAAATGCGGTTTTCACCAGTCAGTTTGTCATTCAATTTTACTCTGACACAGCCATCAGTTTTCATTTATCAAGTTTAAAAACAAAAGTTTTCTTTTGAAAGTGTCCAATTTGGCTTATTCTGTATTAGTATTATATAAAACAGGTTGCCGTTTTGTGAATTGTTCAGTGAGAATTTCAAAACGAATTGTTACTTGAATACATTATCATGTTATCTCAAATTGTGTCGGCTAATACCATCATGATAGTTTGTGCCCGACAAAACGTATACGAGTATTAACCAACTATGTTATATATCCAATGAGCTTAGTCAAATTCCAACGGTTATTATTCAAAAACTTATTGGAACATAATACGGTTATATCACAGTACTCATAGTATTGAAACTGACTTCTCTTACGAAAATTCATATAGTGACCTTAATCCGCGGAATTTATCTCGAAATGGGTAGATAGTATCGTGGAGTTATTGTATTGAAAGTTGTATGTTGATAGCGTGCTGCTGTGCAAGGAAATTAATCGAAGGTCGAAGTTATAAAACTTCTGAATTCACACCCTTTTTTCTAGGAAGAAATAATGCAGATATTTTTAATCAGCAAATTATTTTCTTAAATTCATCAAATTGATAATCATTCAATTCTATTTGAGAAAAAGCTCAGATTCCCAATATTAGGAAGAGCTGTGATTGAGTGATTCAAATAAAATATGTCAGATTTTCCCCAGAAATCCAGAGATAAAAAAAATAAGAAGTGTTTTCCATACTCAAATGTTTCTGGAAAACATAAAGGGGGACTTCCTCAAATTTTGACTACCATATCTGTTGTCCATGATTCTGAATAAATATGTTTTTCGCATCGTTGTCATTTCCACGTACATCGACAACAAGTTGAAACTTTTAAATAGAACACTCTATTTATACGGTGACCACCACACTTTCCAGTTTTTAAGGACAAAATACAAGCTCTACAGAAAAATCCATAAGGAGCTTTAAGAGCGTGCCTGTGCGAAAGTAGCGATTCACATTTGTTTTGAATCTCTGGAGATCATATCTATTTGGAAAAACGTTCTCAAGAAGTTTATTTCACATAAACGCAATTTTCAAACAGTGAAGTGCGAGGTGTACTGAGTTGAACCTAAAAACGATGAGCAGTCACAGTCTGTCGCGTATTTCCCATTATTAGGCTGAATTTCCATAATAAAATTGAAAGAACGTAAAAATGTTCATACAAATTACGAAGGTATACAAGAGACTTCATGAAATGTGAATTTTCCAGTTATATTTTTGCAGCTGAAGTCATCTACACTAGAAAAATACAAAGATATCAGCCGTAATATTATTCATTGTTGATTTTCTTGGGGCAAAGTGAACATGACATAAACAAAGCTTGTTGCATATCAAAATCATGATATCAGCAGTAATATGTGTATTTCAATACTGTGAGCATTGTGAAAATTTTGTTACGTCAACTCCCATAGTCATTTAACCGATTGTTCATTCTTTAATTTTTCATATACTGTCCATTTGATATCCGAGTCTATCAACTTCTATCAGTAGATGTGAGTGGCTTACATATGTAATATATGTTTGTCAGAGGCGAAAACGATATTTCAATACTTACCTACTTATCCTTTGAGGCTTAGATCTCTTAGATATGTTCATTTCCCTGTTATAATTGCTGGTATTTTCAAATGTCCGTTATAAGTGTCCCAGTTCATCTGCCACGTGTCGTTCACCTCATTTGTTATGAATTTTTATATCTTGTGAGGCCGAAATTGCCAGCAGCCTCTTTTCCAGATATTCCCACATGACCTGGAATCCATATGAAGGGAACGTCTTCTACAAAATGTAATTAGTGTTCATACGAATTCATGGTTCTGAATTGAACGTACCAGAGTTTGTGATGACAGCGACTCCAAGAAGTAATTTCAAAATTTATCAGAAGCATCTGTATACAGATCATAATCATTGTACTCAGATTAAACTTGAAGAAACAGTTGTTTGGTTTCAGACATTGAGGATTTCGAGTATTGGGTGGGGAAGGTCATACTGAGGTATTTTCACGATCTAGGGTGCTGATTGTTGTGGGGATTGCAGAATGACATTTGACATTTGTTCTTATAATTAATAATGCGTGTAGAATTTGGGCTTTGAATTTCGATGTAATACTTCCGAATGGTGACTCAAGAAGGTGTTGACAAATGTTGGATTGTATTGGTTCGCAGACATTTTTGCATCAGATATTGTATTCGACTAGCTGAAGAAGATTCATCCTATGTAAAAGCTTTCCATCCAGCTCGTACGGCAGGCACTGAGAGTGAGTATTGATGCTGTGTGGTGCATCGTATTCAACTGTCCCATTACAATTTTGCAGGTTGATTGTATAAATTCATAGTCCATTTTGCATCCTATTAAGGCTTTATATATCCTGAGGCCTAATATTGACTGGCCAATAACTTCATTTGATTGACTCCACTTCAGCACATTTGTTTCAAATGTCAGGAACCATGCCCAGTAATTCACGCTCATGAGAATCAGTTATGAAAAGTTACATCTGAGGTTCAGTTTGCGAGAAATGAAAATTGGTTTGTTTTTTTTTGGGGCAAAATCTTACAATTTATTTCAGAACAGGATGAATAAAATCCAGTTCAGAAAAGATTTTTGTCATCTTCCACTTTTGACAATTGATGGTTGCGATTATTTTTCTGTTGATACAGCTTTGCTTGTAGTTCTTGTCACTGGAGTGGCCTTCAAACAAGTCTGATAAAATGATATAATGAGCTGTGTTCATTTATCTGATTCTCTGTGCCTTTTTACATAATTTTGTTACAGGGGTAGGGCTGTATAAAGATGTGATGTATTCCTTCCATGAGTCTTTTTCACTTATTTCCATTACACGAGTATTTCTATATTTGGCACTTATTCCCCTGAAATTCAGCATGTTCTCTTCTGTATTATATCTTTTGACTTTTTTGAATGATTTGTTTTTGAGTCTGATCATGATAAACTTGATTGCGGCTTGGACCTGCTTTTCGACGAGTAACAGTCGAATGTTTGTTAACCATTTCTGAGAAAGTTGGAACTATGATATTGATCATCTTCTCCAATGAAATTAATTTTTGGAATATTTTCGGCGAAAAATTGATCAAAATTTTCCCAGTTTGCGCTTCTTGTTTTCATTTCTGCAGGACTGAGTATGTTGATTCACTGTTATTACCAACTGCTACTGAAATATATGAAAATTGTCAGGCATCGCTCCTTATGACTATGAGAAATGATCCCTCACAGACCCCTACCGACTCTGAGAGTAATTTGAACTGGCAGACTAGAACATCCAGAAGGCTACAAGGTAATATATCCAGTGGGGTCCGATAACCAATGGATCTGAGAACGAATCGAATCTAGGTTTTCCAGTGTACTCGTATTGAGGATATTCAGGTCAGATGAGTTGAGTCATCCTTCGAAAGTTTTTTCTCTATTGATGGTCTCGTCACTTCTCCATATAGATTAAAGGCAATTGAAATGCCTAAAATGATATTTGGTGATGTGGCTTTTAACCTTTATTGATCCTGGAGAATTCAGAAATTCTTCCAGCTCTTCTTAAATTGCTGAGTAAATGCTTATTTCGTTATTTTTGACTCATTACTTCAGTAGCTCTAATTGAATTCTGATAGGATATCGTTTTTTTTTCAATCAGTTGTTCTTATATACTGTAGTTCTCTTACAGCAACTTACAGTTTCTACACAAAATATCTTCAATATAACTATTGATTTTGTATATTTTCTTAAGTTACAACACCCTCCAGGGCGTGACTCCCGGCCAAAAATTGTTTTGTTCAATATTCCACTACACCAACTTTTTCAGTTTTTTATTTTTATGAGGAATTACTTAGATGGGATGTTTAATGTCATCAGTTCTGTTATAACTCAGTGGTTACACAGACGAACATTTCAATAACTTTCCAAAATTGCAGAAATAGCAGGGATATGAAATGAATATTGAACTGTAGGCAAAAGGAACTTACATGAGAAGAAAGTGAATTGAAAAGGTTATGAAAAATGGAAAGAAAACAGCGTAAATTTCTTATTGCAGTAAAGAATTCCTCTGAGATCTAAGGAGTTACTTTCAGAGAAAGAATTTCAATGAACTCACGATATTCAGTAAATTAACCTCGAATGGTATCTGACTAATTACCCCTAAAACTCTATTGACGTCGAACTGCAAGAATTCGAGGAATTTTCGATCCATATTCCCTTTCTTCCAATTTCCCCTTTCACTAGGTTCGTCACCCGCCGTTGTTTCCAATAATGGAATTGATGAGAGCATTTTCTTATTTCAGAAAGCAGAACCAGGGTCGTGCTCAGGTTGCTAGAGGTACCAGGTGATTGTTTCAAATGGAAAAATACGTGACACCGAATTTGTTGCTGGATACTAGAATTTCACACCGATAGTGAGTATTTCATTGCAGTCTCGAATGTGACAATGAAGTACCGCATAAACTCATTATTAATTGAATTATAGTATTTTACGTTGAAAATATGATAGTACGAATTGTTTCACGGAACAGACGAAATATAAACGGGTATCTTACAGACATAGACCGTATGATATTTCTTTCAATTCTGTTTTCAAAATATATCATGAATAAATGAAATTACAAACTTCACTCGTCCAACCCGCGTTAGGAATCACACGTTAGAAGGTAAGGCATCTTTAGTCCTTAGCTCGCACAAGTTTCGACTTTTGAGAGTTGTGTGTAATGGGGTGACAGCTGGTTAACATAAAAATAGATGTTTACCTGATTTTTCAACTGAAGTTGGTAGAAACATATATTTCACAAGTAAAAAGACTTGAATTTCATCAATAGATAGCAATATACAGTGTCACCATTAAAGTGCGCACCATATGGGAAACTTTTTTTTCGAAAAGTTTCAATGAAGTTCAACTTCGGCACTTGTTTGTGCTTTAAATTTAACTTAAAATGATGCGGCCAACTGCGACCCACTGACGTTCAGTGTTTGTCAAATTCAACTTTTTTTTTGAAAAAAAGCCAAATTTCATGCAACTAGGATAAAGTTAACGTTTTGCTTATTTTTGACAGATATCCTCTTTATTTTAAAAAACAAGCTAGTTTGATTGTCATCAATTCATGTATACATAACAAACTCATCATGGAGTTTAACTTTTCTGATACATTTTTACTTACACGGACATTTTTAGAGAAAAATTAAAAATTTGCTATAAAAATTTTAACATGACTGGTGCAAAGTTTCAATCACTTGGCTATTTTCTTAAACAAAAAACTTTGCCTCTGAACATTTGTTGGAGGGACTGTTCTACAGCAACCTTGTGATGTATTGGTGCGCCATCAAGCTGATACCATAGGCCGTATTTAATATTTGAAGGAATATTATCTAAAACTTCACTAATCTCATTATTTAAAAGGTTGAGATAACCGACGGATGATGAATTTTCCCTAAAGTAAAATGGCCCAATTATTTGGTTGTTAAGTATCCCACATCATACATTAGATTTAAAGGAATACTGATCACCACATTCAACTGTGGAAGTGGGATTTTCTTTGAGAACTTACCGTTCCATCTGAAGAGAACGTTGCATCATCTGTACATAAAATTTTATACGGAAACTTTACATTTTCTTCTCTCTCTCCTTGAAACCAGAACGAAAACCCCAAACGGACATCAAAATCTCGTCCTTTTAATGTGTTAATAAATTTTGGCTTGTGAGGCCAAAATGTACTCTTTAATAAAATTTTTCTAACACTTTCTCTCTTGTAATCGGTATTTTTTATAGTATCGGTTATGCTCGTTTGCCCGTGTTCAATAACTTTTAAACAAATGTTAAGTTGGGCCTCCTCATCATATTTACTCAAATTGATTTGCTACGGATCCTGTTTCTCTGAATTTCGACATTGAAGGTACCGACGTTTGCTTAAGAAAATAGCCAAGTGATTGAAACTGTGCACCAGTCATGTTAAAAATTTTATAGCACATTTTTAATTTCTCTCTAAAAATGTCTGTATAAGTAAAAATATCAGAAAAGTTAAACTCTATGATGAGTTTGTTATGTATACATGAATTGATGACAATTAACCGAACTTTTTTTTTAAATAAAGGAGATATCTGTCAAAAATAAGCAAAACGTTAACTTTATCCTAGTTGCATAAAATTTGGCATATGGATATAAAATTGCCGTAGACACAACTTTTTTTAAGTAACTTTTTGTTAAATTCGATCTAGAAAAAATACACTTTTTCAAATTAAAAAAAAAAAAAAAGTTGAATATGACAAACACTGAACGTCAGTGGGTCGCAGTTGGCCGCATTATTTTAGGTTGAATTCAAAGCACAAATAAGTGCCAAAGTTAAACTTCATTGAAACTTTTCCAAAAAAAAGTTTCCCATATGTTGCGCACTTTAATGGTGACACTGTATAAAAGGACCAAACTATATAAAAAATATGATTGGAGGTCTATTCTATAGTTTTCCAATTTTGTCATCTGCTTACTCTGATAGAAGAATTTATTTCATAAATGAAATTACCCAAACTGTATCGATAGATATAAGTCCTGATTGAATGAAAATGAATGATCACGGATATCACTGAGTCACTTGATATAGTATTAAGATTTGAATTAGGATAGGATAGAGTAGAATGAAATGGGATGGGATGGGTTTGTCATCTCCCTTTGAAAAAGCTCACCTTGAAGACGTCAATATTGAAGAGTTTGGTGCTTGATTGGACGCAATAACTTTTGTTACTCTGGGAACACTGGAACACTATTAGATAATGATACTCTCAGGGTATCCATTGGACACAGATTGAGTTTAGATATTTGTACTCCTCATGAATGTATTTGTGGTAGTGAGGTAAATGAAAAAGGTACTCATGGTTTGAGCTGCAGAAAGATTTATGAACATTTTCCAAGATATCACCAAGTCAACGACAACGACAAACGGCCTGATGAAATGACCCTTGTTCCCTGGAAATGTGGCAAAGCTGTCGTTTGGGATTTCACATGTGTGAACACATTGGCTCAATCTCATTCAGTTGGAACGTCTAAAAATGCAGGTACTGCCGGCTCAACCAGAAGTATCGAAATGTTGGAAATAACTTCATATTTTATCCTGTGGCTGTAGAAACTTTCGATGTTTTTGGCCCCTCATCTCTAAATTTTGTTAGTGAAGTTGGCAGAAGGATGACTGAAGAAACTAGAAAAAAGCACCACTTTTCTGATTTAAAAAATTAGTTTACCTATACAGCGTGGTAATTCAGCCTCTGTTTTTGGCACCATTCCATCGTCACATTCACTGAATGAAATTTTTCTTCATACCTTGTTCCCAAATCATATTCATATCCTAGTCACGAAGGGAGATTGTTTTCTTATAAAACCTCCCATATTCCTTGGATTAATTCCCATAAGTTTCCATCAGAAGATACTGAGAAATATGATCAAGTTCTAGAATTATCTTCTTCTACTAAATTCAATACATCTGCGATATCCAATACAGTTTTGGACAGTTCAGTTTCGAATTCCTCATCTCACCGATCCATTGAAAGGGTGAATTATCTAATCCGTGATTACTCAGAGGAAGACAGCAGTGGGAAACGTAGAACCAACAGTTACAACATCAGTTCAGTGATACATTCTCCAGTCGGTTTGATGGGTTGAAAAATATTGGAAACACCTGTTTCATGAACTGTGTAATCCAATGTTCAACAAAAACGAGATGATTGCTGGAATACCTAAAAAATGTTACATACATGGAAGATATCAATACTAGTATTTCTACTATGAAAGGTGCTTTAATTAAAGCGTTCCCAGAAGTTATCAAGAAATTGTGGTCGGAAGATTCATCTGATAGAGTAATAAACACTGCTTACTTAAAAGTCAGATTCAAAGTTTGCCCCTCGATTCATGGGATCTGCCCATCAAGACGTCCAGGAATTCCTTCGAAAGCTTGTAGAAGGTTTACATGAGGACTTCAATAGAATAACTGAGACACTTTAACTGATCTCAATGGAGATCGACAAAAATTTGAGTGACAGCGGAAAAGCGCTAGAGCTGAGATATTTAAACATGAACAACTCTTAAATTGTAGACAATCTCGTAGGTCGATTAAAATTCACTATGAAGTGCACACACTGTGGACACTCTTCAGTAACCTTCGAATTTTTCTGGGATTTGTCTCTCCCCATACCACAAAGAACTGACCAATTGAGTTTGTCACAATGCTTGAATTTCTTCACAAGAGAGAAAACTCTAGATGGAGATGAAAAACCAACGTTCTCGTGGTGCAAGGAAAGAAGAAAATGCACAAAGTCCCATCAACCCATAAATTTCCCCGTATTTTAGTAATTCACTTAAAAAGATTTTCTCCTACGGAAAGATTCAGAGACAAATTTAATGTTGTCATCGACTTTTTTTAGAAGGATTAGATATGAGAAATGTTACAGCAGACAGTGTGGTCCCTTGTCGTTATAATCTATATGCACTTTCGAATCACAGTGGGACTACTTACAACGGGAAATACACAGCATATTGCAGACACCCACGTGCCATGAATACAATGATTCACAAGTGTCCCCAATTTCACCTAATTCACTTGTGAGTGAGGAGATATACGTCCTCTTTCATGAACAGGAGAGAATGAAGCAGCAATTTTGAGGTGTTTTTTTTTTCTCTTTTCTCTTAAATCCTGTTAATTGATTTGTATGTTCTATAATATATGAGTTATTATATTTTTTTCAAAAATATTATCGACAAAAAAAATTCAATAGAATAGAATAGAACAGAATAGAATGAAATGGAGTAGAATCGAATGAAATGGAATAGAATAGAATGAAATAGCATTTATTTCGCCAATATAAAACAAGTAAAATCAAGGGCAGAACAAATATTCACAAGACAAAGTAAATACAATGACTTACTCACTCTGAGACTATTGGACAGTATGAAAAAATTTAATCATGAGCTGGAGTTACTTCATCATGTAAATGGGTTAAGCGTTCACAGTTCGGAGTTTGAATGCAATTTTGGAAACATATTATTTGAAAAATTCATCGAAATGAAAGATGCCTTATCCAAAATCTCCAGGATCTTCGAAAGTGAACTTTTTCATTATTGGTGTTGAAAAAAGAAATTCCACTCTCAGAAACTCAGTGAGAGATTGAAATTAGAAAAAATTGATTTTTCAACAGATTCATATTGTATTTCCTCATTATCAATTGATGTAGGCTAGAATGGGGATGGGACATGACAGTTCAAGTTTCTTCTGAACTTCTGAAGTTTACACAATCAGAAAAAATAAGTGGAGGTATCAGAAAGTTGTGATACTCACATATTCATTTCATGTACTTGTTGCTTATGAAAATGAAAAGGAATGCCAGAAATGTTCTCAGAATTACCTTCGGAATATACAGAGACGTG